AAAGGTGTCAGGGTGACGGGGAGGGTGGGGGCGGGGAGAGGGTTGCACATTTTACAGCTCACTGACCATTTGGCGATCCATTGAGAGGAGGGCTTGGAAAAGTGGCTCCTTTGTGACAGCTCTCGCCAGATTGGGGGGCTGCTCATTTGCATCTCATTAGCCATGCGGGCGGCCGGCGGGATATAAGCGCGGCCGGCGCCGGCGAGAGCCAGACCTCGGCGCGCACCCGCGGGGATCCGGCGCGGCCGGGCAGGCGCCGCGAGAGCACGGGCCGGGGCGCACGCCTCCCCACGACCGGCCTCTCGCGCCGTGTGCGGGGCGGCCTGGGCCGGACCGGGCGGAAAGACGCGGGTCTCCGCGGCGGCGCAGGAGGCGGCAGTCCGGGGGCTCCGGGACGGCCCGGCCGCGATCCGCAGGGGCGCGCGCGACACCCGCCGCGCCGACGTCCCTCCGCGCGCCCGCCGGGGCCGGGATTACCGCCTCGCCGGGGATCGCCGCGGCGGCGCTCTCGGGAACGACGCTGGGCACCTGGCTCTCTCCTCCTCGCGCTCTGCCCTCTCCGAGGAAAAGCTCGCGACAAAACCAGGAAATCGATGACCCTTACCCGCCGCGGACTGGAGGAAAGGGGAGGAAAACCGAAAGCTGCCGCTCGGGAGCCGCGGGCAGCCGCGCCAGGCCGGACGCGGAGAGCCGCCGCCCGCGAAGGCGCCGGGCCCGGCCCTTAGGGAGGCGCGTCCCGGTGGCCCAGCTGGGAGCGGCGCGGGGCACTTCTCCGCCCACGGCCGCGGCGCGCTTTCCTCCTTGCACGCCCTGCGGCCTCGGCGCGGGAGAAAGCGGAGCCCGACGAGCAGGCGCGCGCAGCGGGCACCATGGGCCGTCGGGGCGCGCTGGCCCTCGCCGTGGTCTCGGCCCTGCTGTGTCAGGTAGGCTGCCAGGGGGGCTGTGGGGGGCCCCGGAGACCCGGCGGGCCGGACAGGGAGCCCGGGGCCCAGGACCCGCGCGGGGCCGGGGCGCGGCACGGGCAGCGCGCACTGTCCGTCGGCCCGAAGGCGAGCCCGGATGCGCGGAGCCGAGCGCGGCTCCGGGTCCTACTGGACTGGCCCGCGTGCTCACGCCGCCGCCCTGCCCGCGCAGGTCTGGAGCTCGGGGGTGTTCGAGCTGAAGCTGCAGGAGTTCGTCAACAGGAAGGGTCTGCTGGGGAACCGCAGCTGCTGCCGCGGGGGCGCCGGGCCCCCGCCGTGCGCCTGCAGGACCTTCTTCCGCGTGTGCCTCAAGCACTACCAGGCCAGCGTGTCCCCCGAGCCGCCCTGCACCTACGGCAGCGCCGTCACGCCGGTGCTGGGCGTCGACTCCTTCAGCCTGCCCGACGGCGCGGGCGCCGACCCCGCCTTCAGCAACCCCCTCCGCTTCCCCTTCGGCTTCACCTGGCCGGTGAGCGCTCGCCTGCGCGGGGCGGGGAGGCCGGCCGGGAGGCCCGCGATGCGACGCCGCGCGCGGTAGGACCCGGCGGGCGGCAGGAGGGGACAGCCCAGGGGGTGAGGAGGCGAGGCCAGGGCTGGAGTCGCTTTCAAACCTGGGACGTCTCCGTGTCCGGCCTCTGAACCTGCTCTGGGCCCAGTGGGCCCTTCGCGCGCCCGCCGTGCAGCTCCCGGCGCGCGTGACAGCCCTCGGCCTCCCCACCCCCAGCCTGCGACCTCCGTTGTTTATGGAAACGTAATATCCTGTACTACAGGCTGAAAAAACAGGCCAGGAAACCACCCTTTAACAAGTCCTTCCACTTACTTGAGAGCCGGACAGGCGGGAGACTGCAGAGGCCGCCCCCAGACGCCGGGCCTTAGAGTTTTAACCCCGCCTTTACGGTTTGTCCTCTGTCCTCTCCGCTTCTTCCCAGGGCACCTTCTCTCTGATCATTGAAGCTCTCCACACAGATTCCCCGGATGACCTTGCAACAGGTAAAAACAAAACCCCCCGAACTGCGAACTGCTTCCCCCAGTTCTTACATAGTTGACTTTAGCCCCAGGCGCAACCAACTCTAACTCCCGTGACTCTGCTCCTGCCCCAGAACGTGCGGGGCACCCTGGGCCTCCCTCAGGCCGTGAGCGTGGGCCCACTGCCCCTGTCCTGAGGGTCTCCGTCAGAACCGACGGCAGGATCTTTCCCACAGAAAATCCGGAAAGGCTCATCAGCCGCCTGGCCACCCAGAGGCACCTGACCGTGGGCGAGGAGTGGTCCCAGGACCTGCACAGCAGCGGCCGGGCGGACCTCAAGTACTCCTACCGCTTTGTGTGCGACGAGCATTACTACGGAGAAGGCTGCTCCGTCTTCTGCCGCCCGCGGGACGACGCCTTCGGCCACTTCACCTGCGGGGAGCGCGGGGAGAAAGTGTGCAACCCGGGCTGGAAAGGCCCCTACTGCACTGAACGTGAGCTCCTGGGGCGCCGTCCCTGGCCGTATCCACACACCCAGGCATTCGCAGATCCTGGGATTTAGCTAACGGGGCTGTAGAGATGTCTTGATGGGGAAACTGAGGCCCAGAGAGCAGAAGTGACCTGCTAATGTGTCATAGCTAGCCAGGGGCAGGGTTGGGGTCAACTCAGACATTTTAACAGCCAAGACAGTGTGTATCCACCATAGGAAGCTGCCTTTCTTCATCAGGGAGGATTTTGGAGATGGGGCCAGGGGTCAGGAAGTACAGCCAGTGCTACCCAAGGGGAGGGGTGGAAGGAAGGCAAGAACAGAGTGTGAGTCTAGGGCTTGCTTTCAGACAGAGTTCTCTCCTTGGGGAGCCTTCTGTGCTGCCCAGAGCTGGTACGGGTAAGCTCTCCAGAGCAGATGTGCTCCCCGCGCATTCCCCCCTGATGCCTGTGCTGCCCAAAGGCGAGGTTTGCACTGGGGTGGTCTGTGCACACACGGGAGAGTGTGTCCGGCTGCGTCTGCAGGGCCTGTCTGGGTGACTGCCCGTGCGGCACCCTGTCCGGAAAGGAAACGTCTTTGCCACAGTGACGTGGGCTCCACCTGCCCGATGAGGTTTCGATGTGTCATGATTGCATAGCAGGCAGGGCCACCAGGGCAGGGCTGAGGGGCTCGGGGGGAACCCCTCTGATTCATCTGGACTTTAGGAGCCTCTCTGCAGCTCACGGAGGCATCACCTGCCCGCCCGGCCACCCCGGCCCATTGGTACCAGATTTCAGGGGGCGGATAGGTCCCGGGGCTGCCCAGAAACGCCAGGGGACTCGCACTCCCTGGCCCTGGAACAGGCCAGGCTTGGCTCCTTCTCCTGGAGGCCCAGAGCCTCTGTCCGGTGCAGTTCCTTAGCGATTCGTGCCTGGGGTGCGGCTGGGTCTCCACTTCCAGTGGGGCCTCAGTGTCTTTGTTTGTTGCTTGGCTTCCCAAGCCTCAAGGACCCACTGAGCTCCTTCTAAGCTCCGCCTTGGCCTAAGTTGGTTCTGTTTTCTTGAAAACTTGTGGAGCTGCTGGTTAATGAGTTTCGTAACCAGCAGAGTGAGCCAGCTCAAAGCCTCAACCCACCGCCCCGGAGGGTGCCTCTGGCCGCTGCTGCCCCCCCTCGCTCCCCCCTCCTCTTCTTCGCCATGGGGTGGCCAGAAACTTAAACTTTTTTCTTCTTATTTAAACACTGGAGCCTCTCCCAGCCCCCAGGTCGCGCGTGCCATAGATTAGATCTCTCCAGGGATAGGCGGCAGGACGAGCCTGCCCCCACTGGCGCAAAGGGCCTGTGTGTGTGTGTGTGTGTGTGTGTGTGTGTGTGTGTGTGTACACGCGAGGGGTGTGTGTGAGGGGGTGGGGACACGGGGGCGCGGGGGGAGGCCGCATTGTTGCGCCGGGGCAGCTGCTGGGGAGGCCGGACAATGGAGCAGCTGTCTGCCCTGGCACCCTGCATGCCAGCTGTCCACTCTTATCTGCACACACACTTTCTGGGATATTAAGAGGTGGAGCTTTGTGCAGAGAATTGGGAAGTGGGGGAGGAGGCGGGGAAGACTTCTGACCCTCTCTTGGAAGAAAGGGGGCCCGGTGGGGGTGGGGGCTTCCGAGAGCCCTTTGTCCCTGAGCCGCTGTGTTAAGAAGAATGCTGGTCCCAGGGCTGGGGGAGTTGCCGGGCAGGGAGCTCAGCCACAGGTTCTGGCCCAGCCCCACGGCCAGCAGCCCTCCTGTGCAGGGTGGTCCCCGGGGGCTCCACCAGACCCAGCTTCTCCTTTGGTTGCAGCAATCTGCTTGCCGGGGTGTGACGAGCAGCACGGGTTTTGTGACAAGCCAGGGGAATGCAAGTAAGTTTGCAAAAGTTGTTTTTTTTCGTTTGTTTTACCTTTTCTTATTATACTTTTATACCTGGTATATTTGTAAAGCATCCCTAGGTGATCATCTGAAAAACTCCAGTGAGATTAGTTGGGCAGGGGGCTGTTATTCTGGTGTTTTCTACCTAATAAGTATTTGGCAGCGTGCGGGGTTGTGAGTCTGTCATTCACCTGAGCTCCTTAGTGGTGATGAGAATTTACAGATAGCAGTTCAGGGCAGAACCCTGAGCGGACCCAGGCGTCCGTGTGTGATGGAGCTCCCCGGGCGACCCTGCTCTGCCTCACTGGTGCTGCGGGAAGGCGGTTTCTAGGTGTGAGAACGAGCCGTTGTGAATCCCATAGCAGGCAGCGCCCACCTGACTCTGCTGTGCTCTTCTCCAAGGTGCAGAGTGGGCTGGCAGGGCAGGTACTGCGACGAGTGCATCCGGTACCCTGGCTGTCTCCACGGCACCTGCCAGCAGCCCTGGCAGTGCAACTGCCAGGAAGGCTGGGGGGGCCTTTTCTGCAACCAGGGTAAGCCTCCTCCCCCCGGTGCCCGATCCCCTTCCACGGCAGCCCTGGACTTCCCTGCAGAAATAATCTTCTTGCATTTGACGCTGGGCTTCCTACCTCCTGTTCCTGTCTCCACCCCCCGCAGACCTGAACTACTGCACACACCACAAGCCCTGCAAGAACGGGGCCACCTGCACCAACACAGGCCAGGGGAGCTACACCTGCTCTTGTCGACCTGGGTACACAGGTGCCACCTGCGAGCTGGAGATCGACGAGTGTGACACCAGCCCTTGCAAGAGTGGGGGGAGCTGCACGGTGAGCTCGGGCACCCGGGGTCTTGCTCGGAAGCTGGGCACCTGTGTTACGTGGAGAGGGGGCTCCGGGGACACCTCTGGAAGGATTGTTCTGACCTTCCCCATCACATAGGATCTTGAGAACAGCTATTCCTGTACCTGCCCACCTGGCTTCTACGGCAAAATCTGCGAGCTCAGTGCCATGACCTGTGCCGACGGCCCTTGCTTCAACGGGGGCCGGTGCTCAGACAGCCCCGACGGGGGGTACACCTGCCGCTGCCCCGTGGGCTACTCTGGCTTCAACTGTGAAAAGAAAATTGATTACTGCAGCTCTTCACCCTGCTCTAATGGTAAGGGGCGGTCGACCGCGTGGTTGGCGCTGAGAGCACTCTGGGGAGCACGCGCGTTTGAGTCAGACAGAGCGTGTCACTTTGACAGCTGCCTGGAGTTTACGGAGCCCTTTTATCCAGACAGTCGGGAATTCTCTATGGAAACTTATCTTTGAGTCGGAACTGCCCCGGAGCGGGAAGGTGGGCAGGCGTGTTTGTTCTCGAGTTGTGCGGGGAGGTGAAATGGCGTGCTCGGGCCACGCGCTCCTCGGCGCCTGACCGCCCGCGACACAGTGGCGCTTGCCCGCCACCCGGCCACCGTGCTCTGGAGGAAAGCCTGGCTCTGTGCTGTCACCTGGCGTCGCGGCCTGGCGTGTCACTGTGTCGGGCACAGTCTGTGGACCGAGAGCCTCCTGCCGGCCGCGAGGGGCGGGACGCCCACGGGAACACACAGCCAGGAGGCCGGCCCAGCCAGGCTGGACATTCCGGAATGATCCCTATTGCTCCCTTTCTCTCTGCCTTCCTCTGTCCTTCCCTGTTTTCGAGCCCCGCTCCTCTCACCACCTGTGACTGTGAGCATGTTGCCCTCTTTAAGCCTCAGTTTCCCCATCTGCAACCTGGGCCTAGTGGCGTGAGTCCGTCGCTGCCCCAAGGTGCGTGGAAAGGTAGCCGGGAAAGAGCGAGGAGCCGTGTCGCTGTTTACGACTCGTGGCGCTAGACCTGGACGCCTCCCACACCGTGTGGAGGCCGCAGAGCACGTGGTCTCGAACTGCGGCTGTCCGGCCACAGGCTGCCTCGGCTCGCTTTCCTCTCGCTGGTTTCTATGGTAACAGGCACGCACACGCGTCAGGGTGCCTTCTGACCACCAGACTCGAGAGGAGATGTGTGACTTCACGTCTCCTGTCCTGTGTTCTAGGCGCCAAGTGTGTGGACCTCGGGGACGCTTACGTGTGCCGCTGCCAGGCCGGCTTCTCCGGGAGGCACTGTGACGACAACGTGGACGACTGTGCCTCCTCCCCGTGTGCCAACGGGGGCACCTGCCGGGACGGCGTGAACGACTACTCCTGCACCTGCCCCCCCGGCTACACGGGCAGGAACTGCAGCGCCCCCGTCAGCAGGTGCGAGCACGCGCCCTGCCACAACGGAGCCACCTGCCACGAGAGGGGCCGCCGCTACGTGTGCGAGTGCGCCCGCGGCTACGGCGGCCCCAACTGCCAGTTCCTGCTCCCCGAGCCGCCCCCGGGCCCCGTCGTGGTGGACCTCACCGAGAAGCTGGAGGCCCGGGCCGGGCCGTTCCCCTGGGTGGCCGTGTGCGCCGGCGCCGTGCTGGTGCTCGTGCTGCTGCTGGGCTGCGCCGCCGTGGGCGTCTGTGTCCGGCTGAGGCTGCAGAAGCGCCGGCCGCCCGCGGACCCCTGCCGGGGGGAGACGGAAACCATGAACAACCTGGCCAACTGCCAGCGCGAGAAGGACATCTCGGTCAGCGTCATCGGCGCCACGCAGATCAAGAACACCAACAAGAAGGCAGACTTCGGCGGGGACCACGGTGCCGACAGGAGCGGCTTCAAGGCCCGCTACCCCGCGGTGGACTATAACCTCGTGCAGGACCTCAAGAGCGAGGAGGCCTCAGTCAGGGACGCGCACGGCAAGCGCGACGCCAAGGGCCAGCCCCAGAGCTCCTCGGGGGAGGACAAGGGGACCCCGACCACACTCAGGGGGTGCGTGCTGCGGCCGGCCCGGGGAGCTCGGGGAGGCCACCGGGGAAGGCGCCCGACATTGGGGGTGCCGTGTTGTCAGGAGGGGGCGCCCAGGGGTGTCTTCGCCAAGCTGCGTCATTTCCCCGTTCGAAAGCGCTTTCCCACGTTTATCGTGGTTTCCTTTGATTTTCCTTTCAGCGGAGAAGCATCCGAGAGGAGGAGGCCGGACCCCGTCTGCTCCGCCCCGGCAGACACCAAGTACCAGTCTGTGTACGTCCTGTCCGAGGGCAAGGACGAGTGCGTCATAGCAACTGAGGTCAGTACGCTGGGCCACCGCCACGCTCACCCTCGGGGCGGGAGCGGGTGAAGCCGGGCGGTGAACCGTGCACTGACTCCCGTCTGTCTCGTGGCCCCGCTAGGTGTAACACGGAAGTGACACGGCAAATTCCCGTTTCTCTTAAATAAATAAAATTCCAAGGATATGTGCCCCAACGAATGCTGCTGAGAGAGGAAAGGAGACCCTCCGTGGACTGCTGCTGAGACACTGAATTCAGACCGAGCTGGTTCTCTTCCTGAAGTCAGCGAAGGCGTTGGCCGGCGGGGGCTCGGGGGCTCGGGCCGCCGCCGCACGGCCCTTCGCGGCGTCTCCATTGCACTATGGACAGTTGCTGTTAGAAGAATATATATTTAAGTGAGTGGACTTGAGTACGCGTGAGCGCATGCACTGCCTGGAGAGTGTTCCGGATTCTCGTGAGCCAGTCTTGTCTTGAGTTAGAAACACAGACACTGCCTTTATCGTCCTTTTTGATACAGAAATGCGTTTTTTCTAGATGAAAAAAATGTGTTATTTTTTGGATTTGTAAAAATATTTTTCATGATATCTGTAAAGCTTGAGTATTTTGTGATGTTCATTTTTTTATAATTTAAATTTTGGTAAATATGTACAAAGGCACTTCGGGTCTATGTGACTATATTTTTTTGTATATAGATGTATTTATGGAATATTGTGCAAATGTTATTTGAGTTTTTTACTGTTTTGTTAACGAAGAAATTTCCTTTTAAAGTATTTTTCCAGAATAAATTTTATGAATGAAACCAGAAGGCTCCCCGTTGCTCTGAGGGGATGTGCCCCCGCTCGCCCGCTCCCCAGACCCCGGGACAGACGGCCTGGGCTCCTCTCTGTCAAAGGCTTTGCCTGGTGTCACGGGATCCCTTAAGAGCAACTTTCCCGGTTCCTCTGCCTCCGCCGTCGAGCCCCGGCCGCCGTGGGTGACGGGACGACAGCGGCACGTTGAGATTGAGCCTTGCTCTGTCTCCCTGCGGGAGGCCCAGCCACGGGCTTCTCCACGCCGTGTCCGTGGTCCTGAGGGATTTCAGGGGGCGGCCACTTTCCCTCTGAGCCGTATGTTTTTGAAGGACTGGAACAAAGCCTCATTTGGGATCAGATGCCCACCAGGCACTTTTGTGTGGCCAAGGCAAAGGCTTTTCATCTCAGGATGTTACTTACTCACACATTTGTGAGTTTATTCTAGTTAATTTGTAGAAAGTTAGTTGCTCTCCAATGCTACCGTGGTGGTGGTGGGACAGACAGCGCAGTTACAGCAGCATTCGGGGCCGGGCCACGCCCACCACGTCACGGGCGTCATCTCAGCCCTGCGGGGCTCCCCGAGGTGGGCATCGCACTGTCCTCTGCTCACAGGTGGGCAGGTGAGGCCTGGGCAGGTGCGTCACTCGCTTGGGGCTCTTGAATGGTGGGGCCGGCGTTCGGATGGAGCCGTCTGACCCCAGGCGCAGTTTAACGATTAATCGTCATCTGGCCAACAGCTGCTCACGGCCAGCAAGTCTGTGGGATCTCACAGACCCCGTCCCTGCCGCAGATCGTTGGCCCCTCAGACGACAGCCACGTGGGCCCCCAGCTGCTCGTTTCTGGGGACGGGGTTGGGCAGGGGAGGAAGGGCTTCCCGCACCGACCTCACCCCTACGAGAAGGGAACGAGCTGCCTTGCGCTGTCCCAGGCCACGCTCCCGTCTTTGTACGTGGGAATGGACACGTCAGGGCGCGAGAGGACCAGCACTGATAGAACTTGACAGCCGGATTGGACCGAGCGCCACATGGAAGCCCAGGAACACCCGCTGGTGCTCTGTCTCCCGGGACACAGCCCAGGCCCAGCCTGGCCCAGGGACCAACTCCGGCTGTCGTGTGGAAAAGTGGCACCAAGGCAAAGACTTCTCGCGCGGCGGTTTCATCTGCTCGGAGAGGTCAGTGGCGGGGCCCGCGGGAGTCGGGGACTCGGGCCCCTCAGCCTCCTCTGTCCTCAGCCTCCCTCGCTTCCTGCAAGAGTGCGGAGCACGTTCTGGAGTGACGGTGTTGGTCTCCAGCGTTCCTCGTAGGCGTGGATGGCGCCCGGCGAGCAGGCAGGCGGCCCCGGAAAGCCCAGCTCCACCGTTGGCTCGGAGTGTGACTGTCGCGTGGAGCTGTTACTGCTCATATTAGTGACGTGATCGCACTGATCACTTCACTGTCACCTCGGACGTTGTCTGCTTGGCTTGTGAATCCAGCGGCTCAGCTGTTTCCGAGAATGTGTGACGTGCTGGGCTCTTGTTTCGTGAAAGAACCTCGAAGTTCCTAAAGATGATTTCACTTCCGTCTTCTCCAACTTTCCTGTAAAATCGGGGATAAATTTATCTTTCACCTGGGCGAGTGCAGCGGCTCAGGGAGCAAACTGGTGACTTACAACTGCCAGCCGTGGACCCCGGTTCTCTGGTGGAGGAGGCCCCTGGTCCTGCCAACGCTCACGTCTCCATCCGAGCTCAGACCGTCCCTCAGCTTCCAGGGCTGGCGCCACCTGCGTGGGACTCCGGGAAACTGACAGCAGCCGTCAGAGAGCACAGACGCGCGCGGGCCACTGGGATTCACACACCGGACACACCCCGCGGCGCTCGGCCTTTGGTCGGGTTCTCCAGGCCCACGTTGGTTTTCTCTCCAAGTGCGTCGTAAGGAAGAATGAACACACTTACAGCCATGAGGTAAATAGCAGGTCCTGTAGCGGGAGTGACGCGGGGCCGTGCTCTGCGGCGGCGTCTGGAGAGAGGCAGGACCCGAGCTGGTGGCAGGACGGGGCCACGGCCCCTCCCGACCAGACCCCACTCCCTGAGTCAGCTCCCTGAGACCGTGTGTGGGGTGGGGGTGAGGCTCACGTGCTTTCCTTAGATTTCTTCCCTTTCACTTTGCATCTGGACGCAAGTTGGGACTTCCGGAAACGTTGCAAGGGGACCCTGGTACCTTCGGTGGGGACCGGCAGCAGCCGCACTTTTAATCTTGTGCCTCGGTGACCTTCAGAGCAATGTGCGGGTGCCCGGTGGGGGCGGTGTCTCCACCCCCAGACGAGATCGTGTGCTTCCCGTTGATGCTGTGCACGGCACACACGCAGGCCCACCACACGGCGATGAAGTGTTCTTGCCAAGAAAATTGGACTCGAATCTGATTACAGCGCTCAGTTGAGGTTCTAGCTGCAGACTCTTGGGGCTCCGGTGCCTTCGCCGACGCCGTCGCGAGCTCTGCAGGCCCCAGCGCGATGGGGGGGGCTGCAGATTAAAGGGGACTTGCGCGTATCCACCGCCCGCAGCGGCTGGATCTGGTCCCTGTTTCGGGCAGTTAAAAACATTTATGAACCAACTGGAGAAATGCAAGCACTGACTGGGTATTTTAACGATTTCAAAGTATCCTTGTTAAATTTTTTTAGACGTGATATGTCATTACTGTTAAGGTAAACAAAAAAAGAATCCTTATCTTTTAGAGGAGAATTATGAAATATTTATGGATGAAACAATATGAGGACTGGGATTTGCTTCAAAACACCCCCAGCTGGGCTCGGTGGCGCGTGGTGGGGCGGGGACGACCTGGGAGCCGGCACGCTGACGGCTGCTGGACGGGCGGTGGTTATGTGGGGCAGTCCTGCTATTCTTCCCTCCTTTGTACGTGTTTGAGACTTTCCATAAGCAAAAGCATCGAGACGGATCACACAATGAACTCACACGCGTGCACACACATGCACGTGTGATGTGATTTACTGGCGTGTGTGTGATGCTGCGTCTGTCCCTGGCACAGTGGATGTGAGGGAGGTTTTCTGTCTCTGCACACGCACATTTCAGACGAGAAATCTCATGAGACCAAAACTAAGAAGTTGGGTAGCTGTTCCGAGTGGTTTGGTCAGGAATTCGGCGTGAGCGAGTCGTGGGCTCCAAGGCAGACTGTGCCACGTGCTGGCCCCGTGGGTGGGCGACCGTCGGCTCTGGCAGGCCTGTGAGAGGACGCGAGGGTCCCGTTCTCCTTGTGGCCAGAGGGTGCTTCTCGGAGCCCCGACCGCAGCCTGTGCTCTGCTAACACCAGCCGAGGCTCCCGGGCGCCGCGGCACCGAGTTCAAGACCCTGACTCGGCCTCGCAGGGGCCTGCGCTGTCCGGCGCCCGAGTTCCTATCAGCCTCGTTTCATGTCACTCTCCCCACGTGTCCCCGGGACCCAGCCAGTGGTACCTGCCCCAGCTCTGTGACTTCCTGGTGATCCTCCTCTGCCCGGGATGCTGTGCTCTGCTGCCACCGGCCACCCCTCCACAGACGCCCCGTCCCGGGAGGCCTCTGCGCCTCAGACGAGGCCACCTGCCCCGGCACGATGCTCGCGCAGCTTGCCGTGCGGCTGATCTGCTGGCGTAGACATTTGCTTAGTGTGTGCGCGTCCCAGGCGGCCGCCACCTCGAAAGGGGGGCTGCGCCCGCTTTTGTTCACCGATGCAACCCGATCCCCACCTAGCGCTGGGCGAGGACAAGCTCTCCGTCCACGTGAGCTATAATTTGAGAACACACACACGTTGGGGACATCTGATGGTGAGAAGTTTTATCCTGGTGTTTACGCTCATCCGTGTCACTGGCAGGTTTGAATCATGACCTGAAGCCAAGCGTAGAGATTATCTGAGTGGGTGACCACGGTGTTTTGATTTCATTCAAACGACTGGTCACCCAGACACAGCCCTGGCGCGCAGAGTGTGCGCCTGGTACCCGGCAAACACGGTAGACGCAGTCCGTCATCCTCGGTCCACGAGTTTCACAGAAAAGGTACAGGCAGGTGAATGATTTTCCTGGACAGCAGCTGTGTGTCTGGCAACGTCGAGAGGCAGGGTCCCGTCTCGAACTTGAGGACGAGCGCAGTGAGCCACCGGAGGGACGCGGCGTGGGGCCGAGCGTAGTGTCCTTGGAAAATGCTTCGAAACTGAAAATACTCCAAACTTTGTGGTTTGGAAGCGATTCAGAGACTGTTTCCGGAGAGGACGTGTCAGCGCAGAGCATCCCATTTCTTTTCAGGACAACTTCAGTAACATTCCTCTGCTCAAGTAAGTGAATATTTCCGTTTTAGAGAAGCCATCGGACCTAAGTCACTGTGCCTCCCCGGAGGCCGGGCCGGGGCCTCGTGTTCTCTTGCCAACGAGCCTTGAAGAGCAACACGCGCTTCCTGTTTCTCTCGCTTCTTCAGGGACTGTCCCCCGATCCATTTCTGGCATTTGCCAAGTTCCAGAGATCACGACTTTCACAGACAGGAGAGTCGGGCACCAGGAGGAGCCGTAATGAAGCAGCATCTTCACATGTATCGTGACACAAGCGTCAGAATCTCTTTCTTCTTTAAATCCTAGAAGGGAAAAACGACAAGACCCGAGTTACACTCCCAGAGAAGGAGCTGAGGCCAGCGCGAGAGGAAATAGTCTAGAATTGCGGGGCAGGCACCAAGCAAGCCGCGCCGTGCATCACCCCGGGGAGGCAGAACTTTCTTTGGCGTGATTTCTAAGAGCGAGGGAACATTCGGCGGCCAGACATGGCAGGCGTGCACGGAGGCTGAGGTGGTTAGGGCCTGCCCAGTGACCCCAGCCTCCTCCAAGCCGCCGCCACCCGTCCCCACACACACCCCGGCTCCTGCCTCTGCCACGGTCAGATCAACATTAACAAAAAGTTTGTTGATTTTTTACATTAACACGAACTTTGAAATTACTGAACCATAAGGAAAAATACGTCTGCTTTGTGGTCCTGGATATTTTACAAGAAACTTGGTTG